ACGTTGGGATCCACTGAATATGGGGACCTTGGATACGGGGACCTTGGGGACACCCCAAGACATCCAGATGCACCCAGGGACGGGGGGACCCTGGGGACATCCAAGGACATCGGAGCCCTTTGGAGATCAGGACCTTGGGGACACCTGGGAACATTGGGATCCCTTGGAAATGGGGACCTTGGGGACATCCAGGGATGTTGGGATCCACAGGATATGGGGACCCTGGGGACACCCCAAGACATCCAGATGCACCCAGGGACGGGGGGACATTGTGGACATCCAGGGGCATCAAAGCCCTTTGGAGCTCCAGACCATGGTGACACCTGGGGACACTTGGGGACACTTGGGGACCCCCGGAGCCCCCCCTGGGGGGTCATCCCCCCCCCTCACCTGGATGTACTCGGTGAGGCTGTTGAAGACCTGCTTGGCCACAGCCATGGCCTTGGAGAAGTTGCGCTTCCCCTGCTCGTCGATGACGTCCTTCCCCGAGTAATACCAGTAGAAATCGCTGATGGACTCCTGTAGGGCCGGGGTGTCAGCGGGGTGGCTGGGGGGGGGGGGGGGGGGGGGGGGGGGGGGGGGGGGGGGGGGGGGGGGGGGGGGGGGGGGGGGGGGGGCCTGGGTCAGACCCACCTGCAGGCGCAGCAGGTAATCCACGGTGCAGATGATGATGTTGATGGTGGTGGTGTTGCCCGTCTGCGTGCGGAGGTAATTCTGGAAGTCTGGGGGGGGGTTGGGGGATGTTGGGGTCGTGATGTGGGGCAGAACCCACATGGCCACCCCATATGGCCCCATGGCCACCATATGGCCCCATGGCCACCTCGTGTGTCCGCATGGCCACCCCATGTGTCCCCATGGCCGCCCCATATGGCCCCATGGCCACCCCATGTTTCCCCATGGCCACCCCATATGGCCCCATGGCCACCCCGTGTGTCCCCCATATCCCACCCCATATCCCACAGCTGCCCCTTATGGCCCCATGGCCGCCCCATATGTCCCCCATATCCCACCCCATATCCCATGGCTGCCCCTTATGGCCCCATGGCCACTCAATGTGTCCCCATGGCCACCCCATGTTTCCCCATGGCCACCCCATATGGCCCCATGGCCACCCCGTGTGTCCGCATGGCCACCTCATGTGTCCCAATG